TGAATAAGAAGAAAATAAACTTATACAAGAATGAATAAGAAGAAAATAAACTTATACAACAAATTATTTTCCGTCAACTGTAGGCCAATGTAGTCAACTTGTTGATTGTTCAGATTCTCGAATATATTTATTTGTTGCAGAAAAAACAGCTTCGTTGTTTGATATTTGTTTATGATGAAGAAGATTCAGATGATGTGACGGTGACCGGACTGAATGTCGCGGACAAAATGTCGCATGGACAAAATGTCGCATGGACAAAATGTCGCATGGACAAAATGTCGCAGGACAAAACGTTGCAAGACAAAATGTCGCAGACATATCGTTGCGGACAAAATGTCGCGGACAAATGGTTGCAGAAAAAACGTCGCATGGACAAATGGTTGCAAGGACAAAATGTTGTATGGACACAATGTTGCGTGGACAAAATGTTGCACGGACAGATAGTTGCAAAGACAGAACGTCGCAGGACATAACGTTGCAATTATAAGAGGGTGTGGGTGTGGGTGTGGGAGTGGGTGGGTGTGGGAGTGGGTGGGTGTGGGTGTGGGTGTGGGAGTGGGTGTGGGAATGGGTGGGTGTGGGTGTGGATGTAGGTGTGCGTGTGAGTTAAGGAAAAAAATACAGCCACACGACGCACACCCATACCCACACCCTATGGTATTAATGTAAAGAAGAGATTATATCTACTTATCTGTTTTACATTGCTAGTCATGAGGAGCTCTAAGTTTCCAACGAAAGATTCATGCACCATTTTGTCCATACAACATTTTGTTCCATGAAACCATTTGTTCATGCGACGTTTTTTTTTGCAACGTTTTGTCCACGCAACATTTTGTCCTCGCAACCATTTGTCCATGCGACGTTTTTTTTGCAACGTTTTGTCCTTGCAACATTTTATCCATGCAACATTTTGTCCTTGCAACTATTTGTCCATGCAACATTTTGTCCACAACAATTTGTCCGCAACATTTTGTCCGCAACGATATGTCCGCGACATTTTGTCTTGCAACATTTTGTCCGCAACATTTTGTTCGCGACATTTTGTCTTGCGACATTCAGTCCTAGCGCCGATGTGACACACATTGTGTTGCATAATAAACTGGTGCTGGAACAAGTATACCTTTTCGACATCGAACATCAATGTGACATAAATAATATCTATTTAAATTTCAAAACAAAAACATAATAACTTGTTTTTTTTCTTTATTTTCAAATCAAAATTCGTTACGTTAATTGTTGAATTTCATCTGATGTAAAACCAATTTCATCATATAATACTTGATAAAGCACTGGACGTGATGTACCTTTAATAGGTGCATGAGAATTAAGATAAAAATAAAAACCATTTGGTGGAACAATATCGGTATCAACAACTGTTCCTAGAATGATAAAAAACAAATATTCAAACAAGAAAATCAAATCAAATCTATTTAACCTGGTTGAATATTATGTGCTCGATTAGATTGTTTATCCAAAATAAAAAAACGTGTGTTATGATTTTTTTTAACAAGAACAAAACAAATTTGAAGTATTGAATTATGACCATATAATTCTATAGAAAAAAAAGCATTGGTTTATTTGATTCAGTCTTTGAACAATCATATTTACCTTGACATGCTCGTTGAATAGCTTGTTGTAATTGATGATTAAGTATATTCTGAAATGATTGATTATGACGGCCAACTTGATAAAAGACAAGTTTATTTGGTAAATGTGAGTTATAATTTGAAAACACACGTAAAAAATAATCAACATGAATATGAAAATCTTCGATAATTTCAAGTGATATTTTTCCTGTTGATGGAAACCCAAGGCAAAGCCGCTCGGTCGGATTCTGTCGGATGGATTTGAAATCCGTTTGAACCCGTCGAACGGATATTTTCCGACGTAATCCGGTCCGGAATCCTGTGCAAGGAATCCGACGCAAACTGGTTCGGATCCGATCGGTTTTAACGGAAGGCGTCGGATTCCGGTGCAATCCGTTTCGGATCCAATCGGTTTCCGGTAGGATCCACAGGTCGGATTGAATCTCTTGGGAATCCTTCTACGATACGAGTAGCATATTGTGTACTTGTGGAATCTTTTGATCCAGTAATAGCAACAATGGAAGGTCGTTGATGTTAACATGTTATATGACTAGAATCAATACCAAAAAACATAAATATATCAGATCGAGCTGGTGGTGATGTTAATGCACGCATCAATGAAACAAATTGATTGACACCACCTAATTTAGCACGGAGTTCTTTGACCAAATTATTCTAAGAAATTTATTTATTAGAATTAAACAATAAAAAACAAATGAAATGAATTTACTTGAATATACATATTCATGTCACAAGAGTCACTAATTGACATAAGTTGATCGAAAAGTACACATTGAATTATGGTATCTTAAAAATAACTCTTTTTTGTTCATAATCAAAATATAAAAATGAAGGAAAGAACATAAATATGTATCATTTGAATCAATGAGTTGTTTACGATAAGATTTCTGTGAAATTATTGCATCATAATTAGAATCCGTCGAGTCAAATCTGAACTCGACTGACTGTGGGTTGGGTTCGAATCTGAATATTTTAAATATGAGGAACTCTAATTGGATTCATAGAAGAACAAACTTCTATGAAAGTATTAAAAGCAAAGGTTGAGGTTTCAGCTCGAGTTTGAAAGATGATCAATAAATTAAATTTGGATTTGAGTTTAATACTTTTGGATCTCGACTGGCTCTAGTTAATAAACGATATATTTCACATAATTTTCCTTATATATTCATCTGCTTATTTAGCAAGAATAGTCCTTATCTCATATATAATAAAAATATGATCTTACCAGTTTGAACATTTTCAAAATCTTTAATAACATCATAAATATCATTATCCACTTGATTAAGAATATAAATAATAACTTCACATCCCTGCATTTTTAGTTCATTTATATGAGCTAAAATTGTTTGTGGTACAGCTACATCAGATTTTTCAATAGGTGATGAATTAAATTGAATAGCATATTTTGACATAGCCTTTAATAAAAGAATAACAAGTTATTTTTTATTCATGTCTAAGAAATTCAATTATAACCTGTCGAATTTTTTGAACAAAATCTCTTGTTAAATCAATTTGTCGATTATCTAATTTACGTTGATTAATAAAAACAACAGCCCATGTACGTATTTCACGTACTTTATTAAAACGATTATCTAAGTACCATTTACCAATTTGGACTCGTTCAATAACATCATTATATTTAATTTGTAATTGTGGTAATATTCGAGCTGGTACCATTAACATTTCATTATCAACAGTAATACCAAGATTTTTTAAATGTCCATTGGTAATACTTTGAATCATTTCGTAACATTCTTGAGGACGAAGAGCAATTATTTTTTTTATTTCGGCATATTGTTTTGTAGTAAATGGTTCAAGACTTAATTGCCCTTGATCAACAGTAATGAATTCCATTGGTACAATACATGTTTGATTTGTATAATCTGGATGGTATAATTTGATAAGAGGTAAATTTGGATAATGTATAATGTAAATATTTTTTTTATCATGACTACAGCTAACAATTTGTTCATTTTTATTATTATTAAATGTATGTCCATTTGCTGAATGATGAAATGATTGAAAACGATAAGGACCAATTTCATCGGCACGTGGTAATAGAAGCCAAAGAGTTTCTAAAATTTTTCCAACAATTAATTGATATTTTGATGGAATACCTTCAACACAAAAAAAAAACAATATTCAAATAGAAAATTGTGTTAACTGACCACATTCTCGAATATCATGATTCAAATAACAAGAAATAAATTCAACTAAATTATAATTTTGATAAAAACAACAAAATATATTATTAATATTTATTGTCGGACCACGTTCACCAAGTACGATTCCTTGATAAAAACCTAACGCCATTCCTCGTCCACAACCTATAACAAAAAAAAATTCATATATAAAAAATTCAAGTCGATTTTTTGTTTCTACCTATATCTTCCAATGGTTGATGTTTAGGATAAGATTGATTTTTAATTTTAATCATCTGATATTTGTGTTTGTTTAAATAATGTTTCCAATATTCGAATAAGATCATGTGGTTGTTGGGAAATTTCTTTTTGTATAAAATCAAAAATATTTTTTAATTTATATGTTTTAACAAGATTTATAATTAAAAAGAGAAATTTATTTGTTCGTCCTGTTGGTTCATGTTTAATTTCACATTGATATGCTTGTTCATAATTTAATATTAAATTTTCAATTGAATATAAATTTTTTCCTTCATCATACCACACAAGTGGAAAATGTTCTTGTTCAAGAATTTTTTTAAGAACTTGTAAACGTTCGTCTTTTCGACATGAACGCCATAAACCATCTCGTATGAATAATTTAAAATCAAATTGATATAATATTAATTCATTTGTTTGTTTGGAAAAATTTATTCGAAAATGATTTGTATGAAGTTCAACTTTTTGACCAGCTTAAAGCAAAAAAAAAGAAATCATATTTAAATAAAATACCATGTTCCGATTGTGATGGTCGTTTAATAATTGTTATTAATTGTGAATTTGGTACAGCTGATCGAATTGTTGGACGTGCAAATGAACGTGAACGTTTTTTTGTATCATTTCCATTAGTATCAGATGGAGCTTTTGCTGTTGTAACACCATATGAACCATTTTCAATTTGTCCATTACGAGATGTTGTTTCATTGATTAATCCAGTTAAAGAATGTGCACGACGTTGAGAATAATCCGATGATATATCATCGATACGACTTGTACGAGCTAAAAGATATTTATTTTTCTTATACAAGTTTTCTTTTTCATTTTTAATTATATGCAACTTCATCTAAATTACCTTGGCTTTTGTTTGGTAACATTTAATATTTGATCTTGTAATGTTTTCAATCTAAAAGAAAAGTAAATCAAAGAATATTTAGAAAAAAAAAATGTTCGTCTATCTGCCAGATTAGGTAGAATAGAAGTGTATCTTGACTCGTCTATCGAGTGAGACGAAAGGCTATTTATCTATTTGACTAAGAAGAAAATTCAAGACGGACAAGTGAATAAAAAAAAATCCATTTATATAGAACAAAGAACACAGAAATTCATTGACATCGAATAGTACTAAGCGTGCCTTTCTTTCAATGTATGTACAATAGAAAGTAGATAACTAATAATAGTTGTGTGATAATACATAGCATGAATCTCTCTCTCTCTCTCTCTCTCTTTTTCGTTCTATATTTTCGTATATATACATATATATATAAAGAAAGTGTACATATGCCTAGATTTCGGTTTATGTATACTAAATTCAACAATAAGAATAAAGAATAGAATTTAAAGAAGAAATAAAATCAGCAGATGACCTTATTGAATAATGTTCATCCCTGGATATCATAATGGAAGCATATAACATTCGATAGAAAGTTTATTCAAATCCAATGACATTAGGATTTGATATATTTAAACAATAATCATAAGCTGATTTCACTATCACAATGTTGATGCTTTCTATTGTATGAAATTTTCAAACAACTGTTTTGAATATTCTCTTTTCAAAAATAATTATTGTCTATTTCAAAATATAATATCCTCTACTGTTCTTTGAATAACTCGAGAACACCAACAAGAAGACATGAAAATGACCTGTCATCTAGATGAAATTTTCATTTTAACCTTTGATTTACATAGAGAAACTTCAAATCGGTAGTTCTAGATATAATGTGTTGCCTTACTTTTCATTACATTTCTATCGAAATGTCAAGCTATTATGATAAAAAGTGAGAAAACTTAGTAAAAAATTAGCAAAATTCTCTATTATTTGCGCATGCAAACGCATGATTCAATTTGCTCAACGTTTTAATGTAATAAGAGAGCCAATTTGCATTGTATTTTGAACTATAGATTTGAGGTCTCTCTATCTAAATCAAAGGTCAAAATCAAAATTTCATCTAGATGGCAGATCATTTTCATGTCTTCTTGTTGGTATTCTCGAGTTATTCAAAAAACAGTGGAGAACATTATATTTTGAAATGGATAATAGTTAGATTTTCCTATGCAATTAATGTTATGCGAAAAAAAAACAGAAACGAAAAGTGAGTGCAGCGCAAAACGAGAAAGTGATACATAGGAAATAGAAATGAACAGTGCTCTATAATTTATATTTTTATGAGAATATATCATTATAAGCACTAGAACGATACTGTTGTCATTTTGTTTGAGCTCTTATTGTTTAATACAGATAGATCTCATTTTCGACGAACTTTTATTTGATATAAAACTTATTGTTGATTATTCATAAGCTTCGAAAGATTAAACAAGTTATTCAATTTCATTTGTCGAATGGGTTATTGTTTTCATTATACGAAAAGAAATCAATGTTTTAGTAATCAATCATATACATAGTTAAGTACGTATCAATCTGTAAGAAGTGATGAATATTCTAAGAAACGCATGATGAACTAAAAGAGACAAAGCTAAAGATCTCATTACGACTAATCTCACGAATATAGTATTTTCAAAATCTATAATTCATCTTTACACCTATTAGCATGAACAATACATATCCGATTACTAATGACATAGTTTCGTAAAACAAAACAAAAACAATAACACTTTTATAATAATAATCATATGATTAGTCTTTCTTTTTTTCTTAAAAACAAAATGATAAAATGATTATTTTACTTATGTCAATATTATTAGATAGAATAAAATGATACACAAGAAAAAAACAATGTAAAACAGTTTTAATTTTTTGTCTTTTTTCTTTTCTTAATACGAGATATAGTTTTAAATTTGAACACAAGCACATAATGTCGGTGGACAATGTACAGATGACTATGTTTTCGGACTGAATAAAAAACAACCAATAGTTGTTACGCAGAAAAAATTATAGATCAATTTTTTTCATTATCGGCATCTGGTCACTGTTGTATATTAACACTAACTCATATGACATAACATGTCCCTCACTATTCACAGCTCTTCAAAATATATATCAACCATTTTTGTGCCGATATTATTTTTTCGATATTTTTCCTTTCAATATTTTTATGGCTAACTGATTTTTCTGACCTCTGTTGACAGTTTATTTAAGCTTTGCTGTAGTCTGTTTATAGAATAATATAAAGTATAAAAATTCTCATTTTGAATTGTTTTGATATTATCTCATCGTCATTCTGAGAAAATATTTTAAGCCGACAGAAAGTGACTTAAAATAAATCACCTGTCTATACATATATTGAAATATATTGTTCATTTTTTTTCCAAATTCCTAAAGTGTTAATTTGAGCGAAAAATGCACTTTAGTATATGCATCAATTCGATTTGATTGAAATTTCGCTAGAATATTCTTCTGTTACACTATTTAATGATCTGAATTTTGTTCTGGGTGTAACTTAGTGTTATATGAATATAGAGCAAAATAAAAAATGTGGCGCCATCTATAATGAGATTTTCCATTTTTCTCAGAAACAATTGAATCAAATTCTAAATGAACTTCGGATCGATAAATAGAAAAAACAACAGAATAGTCTTTAGAAATCTCATTCGAAGATATATTTAAGCATATCAAAGTTTATTATTTTCGTAAATTCATCAGATTGTCGATAATCGGTTCCTATTAGTGTGGCTTTTCATTCGTACATTATTACTGTTAATTATTTCGTCCATTTCGTAGGTAAGTGTTACATTTTAATTATTTCAGGCCACCCCTCCCCCCCCTCAAAAAAAGTCAATTTTCGTGAGAACTGTCAAAATTGAGATAAATACATAGGAAGATAGCTCGTCGTTTGCTCTTTCAAAATCGATAAAAATTTTTCCTGAAAACTTCATTTTTCCTAGAAACTTTTCAGGATTTCAGAGAACCAGTTTTTGAAAAACCAGCGGTTTTTTGAAATATCCAAAAATCTTTTTTGTTTTTTCTCATTTTTCGCTTTCTTTTACGCGCATCCCAAATTTCTCTGTAATGGTTCGTCCAATGTATTAATATTTTTTTTTGTATGAAAGAGCGCGTCAAGATGCAGGGCACGACGAGCCCCGATTTTTCAATTGAGTACTTTTTTTATTATATATAAAAACACTTATATAATTTGGTGACAATTTTTCGGGTGCTTTTTCAGTGATTGAAATTGTCGTTGCTTTTTTCCGCTAAAAAAGTCAATATTTAAAAAAAGTAAGCCCATCATGCCCTGCATCTTGACACGCCCTTTCTAATGAAAAAAAGAAATTAATACATTGATAGGATCTGGATGGAGAAAAATGGGTTGCCAAATCAGCTAATTTTTACCATTGTGTGATCAATAACTCTCTTAAACTCCATTGTTTAGGACTGAAAATTTTACCATAGCTTTCCCACTTCAGCCCCAACATATGCTCCAAATTTCAGCCCATTTGAATGCTCCTGGGCTGAGATCGGATTTTGAGGGGGGGGGGGGGGAGTGGCCTTCAGTGGAATTTTGACTGTAATTAAGCAAACTGCCCCAGTCAGATAAGATCAATAAAAAAAAACGTTGTTGTGCGTAAGAATATTAGGTTTTTACTTTTTCGAAAAAATGTTTTTGAGAAAATTAGCGAATTTCAAGCCAATGCGATTAGAGAACTTGATTTTTAGAACAAAATTCTCTTTTCACTATAAACAGCGAATATTTTTACTTGTTAAAACACTTTATTATGATTCTTTCTCTGACTGGTAAATGGTACCAAAACGCATCAAACATATATATTATAATTTTCTTTAAGACAGCACTCACTTATTAGATAAAAATTCTTATAGTAGTTATAATATTTTTGTTAGTAAAGTTTCCCGTCTGAATGATGAAGCTCATGTCAGTCGTAGATAGAATTTTTAATAAGCCAAAAATTAAGCAAAAGACGAATATCTGATTTTTCTTTTTCCTAGTTTCTGATAGTACCCATGTCATGTTCAGTTTAACAATAAAAGATAGATCTTGCAATCGAACATATTTATATATATATATTTATATACATGGATAGATAAGTAGAACGGCTGATAGATAAGTAGGTAGATAGATATATAGGTAAAAAGATAGATAGATAGGTAGGTAGATAGATAGGTAGGTAGATAGATAGGTAGAAAGATAGATAGATAGATAGATAGATAGATCGAATAGGTTCAAAGTTCAACAATTCATTTGCTGAGTCTGAAAAATTTCAATGAACGAGACTAATAAGGCATTACATTATGAACTTATTCTGGTCTGTAGATATATTTATATCTTCAGTTTAAGATCTTTTTATTCTTAACTTGATGACACAAATACTATTGAAAGGTGATAAATAAAGAAATGAAAAGTTTCATACTCGTCTTTTATTTAATTTTGCGTTACTGATCCTTTTATTTCTGAGGTGAGCAGAACACTAGAGGAAATATTTGAAATTTGCAGACCTACTAGCTAAAAGATAGTTCATATGAGATCTTAGCTATTTTCAAATCATTATGACAATGTTAAAATATTGAAGAACTAATCTCTACATTTTTTTAGCGAACTAAGTCTTTAAGTTTGAAATAATTATTTCTTCTACCCAACGCGAAAACTATTTCAGATGCCTCTTGCGATTGCTATCATTCTTTTAATCGAATATACTAAATAGTACTCTAATAAACATCCTACAAACACTTGAGTTTCCACTTAGGTTTGACTAAGCTATCCAATTTTTCAAATATTTCCTTTCATGAGGTCTTGTACTACCACGAGATTTTAGAAAAATCAAATTTTTGAATGTTGACTCGAACTTTTTCATATATAGAGATTTTAATTACACAAACTTCCATAAAAGTTAAGAAGTTTTCAACGGAGTCTCTCAGAGATATGAAATCTCTAAGAAAAAATTCTGTATGGAAAAGAACTCTTTTCTTAGAAATTTCATATCTCTGAGAGACTTCGTTGAAAACTTCCTACCTTTTATGGAAGCTTGTGTAATTAAGATCTCTATATATGAAAAAGTTCGAGTCAACATTCAAAAATTTGATTTTTCTAAAACCTCGTGGTGCTACAAGACCTCGTGAAAGGAAATATTTGAAAAATTGGATAGCGTCTCAGTAAGACAAACACTCAAAAAAACGGCGTTAAAATGTTACAAAGTTTTAACGAAAAAAAAATGTAAAAAGCGCACATTTTTTGGATTTTTTTTTCGTTAAAATTTTGTAACATTTTAACGCCGTTTTTTTTGTATTTGTCTGACTGGGCCCCCCCCCCCCCTTTTCTCCAATGTCTTCGATGTCCTTTACGAATGATACCATTTCATAAATCATTTAAAAATGAATTAGATTTAAAAGTAAAAATAGATAAAAAAAAATTAAAACTTTAGTCTACTCGCCTCTATCTTCATCTTGATCTGATAAAACAAATGTGACAGCTGGAATTATTTTGACTGAATTTTTTAATTTTTCAAAAAGATAATTACTATCTTTATCATTATTTAGCTTTTGTTGTGTTACATTTAAATTAATATTTTTATTTAATAAATAAAAAGCCTTTCGTGTCAATATATGTTCATCCACCGCACCACCTACAACTAACAATTTAACATTATTGACAAGCTTTTCTTCTGATAATGAATCAATCTTTAAATGTTGTTTTAAATTTTCTGATAATTCTTTAATTAAATGTGCTAATAAATTTTCTAAAATATCATCATCGAATTCTTCAATTTTTGGAGAATGGGAAAGAAAACAAAATTCCCTGTCTCCTATTGAACCATCTAATAGTAGTCCAAGACATGTTGCCAATGCTGATGTTTTAGCATGTCGATAACTAATATAATCTTCTCCCATATCGACATCATCATTGTCATTAACATCCGAACCACTATCACTGTCACTTAAGTATTCATCCATTGTATTGTTAAACAAGAACAAATATAATTAAATTATTTTTGGGATAATTTTTTAATTGTTTAAAAAGATATTTATATTCTTTGAACTAAAACAAACTAGTCTATATGTATGTTTTTTTCTACAATGTAGTTGTTAATACAAGAAAATTATTGAAACGACACGTTGGCCTATTCACTGCACATAAAGAAAAATGATTCATTCATATCAGTCAATTTAAACGTGTTCTATCTATCGACTAATCCTTATTTGAACAATTGCATATATGAATAAAAATAGATAAATCAATTTTTATGATAAAGATACGATATAGAAAATAAAAACTAAAAGTATTTAAACATTCTTATGGATTAATTAATTTAATGATTTTATTCTTTGATCAATTTTTATATAATTCTATTAAAGTTTTATTTTATACGATGATAAATAAAGAAAGATATTTTAAAAAAATATTAATAATAATGAAAGAGATTAACTTATTATAAAGCTTTTGAGATCTATTGAACTTAATATGATTCTTTTCTAAAGATTTTAAGAATAAGAGAATTTGTAGTTTTCAATTCTATGTTTTATTTCATTGTCATTATAAATAGTTTTTTCGAATATATTCCTGAAAATTTTTCAAATAATACATTAAATAAATTTTTATTGTAACAAGGTTTTTTTAAATAAATAAACATTGATTAACATAGTAAAATGTTTAGTTTTTACTTTCTAGGAAAATTTAAGAATCTATTTTCATAATCTGTGAGGTAAACCAAAAGTTGACATCTCATTCTATGTCTGTTCCATTAGAATAAAGACTGGCTTTCTGTATTTACAAGATAAATATCATTTAAGAGTATCTTCATCAACGAATTATTTTTGAGAGAGAATGTTATATTAATTATATAATACATCGAGTGATCTAAAATCAAGGAAATATCGAATAAATTTCGATTTTTTGCTTTATAGATCAGTTATTAGATTTCAAATAACATATGGTAATACTCAAAGAAGCAGATCATCAGTGATTATCGATAAGAATCTGTTTAAAAATGTCAAAATGTTATTATTACATAATGATACCTATATACTATCAATGATAAAGGCAAACTCTTTGAAATTTTATCATAGATAGAGACTATTTAGATTTATTACCAGTAAAAGTTTCATTGATTTTGCTTTAGCCAGATCTGAGTTATTCAAAAAATATTGACCGTTATAGAATTTCAAAAAACTGAAATTGTTTTTTAGGATGCGGTGACAATTTGTTATTTTGCTACGAAACAAGCCGACATTATGGATGTATCAGTGTCGATATACTGAGCACCGAAACTCAGTGTCACGGACGCTTCTAGCACTTTTAGATGTTGTTCAAGATCAGTATATTGCTAAAGAGCGAAGCTAAGATCAGTTTATGATGACAGAGATGAGATGCTAATATCATTGACCTCTGCAAACTTTGATTCACTGATGTCAGTGTTCCCCTATACACTGACACACAAATCAATGTTTCGTACGAAAGTTGTTCAGTTTTCAACAAGCTTAAAGAATATCAAATCATTTGCATCGAATAAAAAACTAAAAATACCGTTTGTTACGGCATTTCAATCTGTCATAAAATTTCGCCTTTTTTTTAGGTTTTAATGGGAAAGGTTTGAGGATCTGGAATTTGAAATTATTACGTTAAAGGTCCATCTTTTTCCTAATTCACGAGTAGTACAAAGATAGTTTTAGAATTTATGTGAAAAATATTTTAAAGAATTAACGATTTGTATAACTAAACTATCAAATAAAATTTTTAATTAGATGATAATCTTACTTAAACATAAAAATTAATATTGATATGTGAAGAGAACATAAAACATACATTTTTGGATATTTAATCAAACGAAATATTATGTCAATATCGATGAGAAAATAAATCACATTATTAGGAATGTTTTTATTATTTATTGAATAATGACAAAATTAATTTTAATTTCTACATATATAGAGAAAGAAAATCAAAACCAAAGACGAAATCTTGATATGTCGATAATAAGTCGACTATTAGGAAAAGATTTGTGAACCATAGAACGATAAGGTTCGATTTTTTCCTGATCAGTTTGTCCATAAATATCGAGATAAACAAATTGTTTTAATTGTTCAACCAATTGACAAAGATTTTCTTCAAAGACAGTAACATGTTTAACTAAGCAAAAAATAATTTTATTAATTATTTATTTTTTAATTTATTTCATATACATACCAATTGATTCAGATGTTCGTAAAGATTCTATCCATTTTCTACTCATAACTTGACATCTATATCCCTCGCGATATTTTGGTCGAACTTAAATAAATTGAATAAGTTTTTTTTTATTATGAAAAAATTTATCAGTTTCAAAGATTTTAGTATAGAATCATTTAAGAGAGATGCTTCTCATATCGGATTTATCGTAGTTTTTAAGTGATTGAATATATCAATCCCCTACAAAATGTTCATTTACGGGAAACACTAATATATCTTTCTAATCGAAAAGATTTAAATAATTACAAATTTTAATATTGTTTAAATTCAACAATAAAAATAAAAGTCAATGACAACAATAAATATTTATTCAAATCTCATTAAAATTTTCATTTTTATTAACTATTGAAAAAAGAGATCCTAATATCTTTAATAAAATCTTGTCTCAATAATCACTAAATGACTCAAATTGATAATTGATATATTCTATATAATTTAAGAGATTATTTATAAAGTTTTGATAAAGTTAAATGAAATGTAATAATTGTTCAAACTACATATCTGTCTGTAAACAAAAAGCTGTGTCGCGCAATCCCTACGGGATTAAAATGTGAAACACGATATAGCTGCTGCGGCTGATGACACAGAAATAGTTTAGTTCTATGTCTCTTATGATTGGAGATACTATTCACAACACTGTCTGTGACAGTCTTTGATGAGGAATTACTGATACACTAATTAATTCATTAGGCACTAGTTAATTAATTAGGATATCGGTCACGGTCTGTGGGTCCAAATTTCTACCCCTATACACTTCAACACTCTCTTTCAAATCGTGTTTCACAAAATTCCAATAGAATAGCTTGATATAGGATTACACTGACACATTCTATATTTGATCTGAAAAAAAATTCAACGATAATTAACAAGTAGGAAAGTGCAAATCGATGTTTTAAATTTTTTGGTGATTTCGATTTTGATTATTCTCAGTCCTAGTTAAAATGTTTTTCATTTGTAGTCCCTATCGCATATATCCAGTTTAGTTTTTAAAAGCAACCGATATTTTTCTTATACTTTATATGAATAATTTTAAATCGGTGTTACTTCAAGAGTCATTTTGAGCGTATCAAAGTTTAGAATCTAGTGGATTCAAACATTCTATTTCAAAGTGAGTCTTATAACAATTTTAACATATTCAAATCGAGATCGAAATTTTTCGATTTTTTTTCTATTACCTAAAGAACAGTTCACACTAGAAATAATAAAATTCTTACACAGAATGCATAAATAAAGTAATGTTTCAACTGCTATCGAAAAATCCTCATTCTTTCTTAGAGGCAGAACCGGGATCAATAGGAAACGTTTTATATCTAATATTTAAATAAAAACATCAGATTTTCCAGGTTCTTCCTCAGAATAGAATAAGATATATGAAATAATTTTGTACTTATTTTGGTGAAAAAAATAAATCGGGAGCAATTTTTATTTCGAGTTGGCGTTAGTCCCGATCAAGACCAGGACCACTTTGCAGATTCCTATTAACAAGTGAAATTTTTCTAATTCTTAATCAAACTTTTTCAATTACGATTAAAATAACATAAGGAAAAAAATCAATTAAGACTTTTCGAAATATCTAAATTTACATATTGAATAAAACAGATAAGATTGCTCTTAGAATTATGAAAATAAAAATTATTTTTGTTAAAATTTAGAATTGTATATCATTCGTCGACAGACATTTCGTCGACATACATTTTGTCGACAGGCATTTCGTTGACAGTTATTTGATCGACAGTATAGTTTGTCGAAGACATTTCGTCGACGACTTTTTGTCGAAAGCTCTTTTGTCGACATATTTCGTCGACAATCAATTTAATCTATTGTGTGTTCATTGATATTATGAACTTCCATTTGTTAACGAGAAAAGACGGCTTAGGATTAAATTTTACTTTGAGTAATCAATTGAAAGTGTTCCCATTTGAAACAGAATAAATGAGGAGACTTCGGATTTCAATCCGAATGTAATGTGTACTTCAAAAAGTGAAAACTTTGTTCTTTTCTCAAAAAACTCTTCTCTTAACCCTAAAATTGACTTCAAAATTTTTTCTTAATGTTTTATATACCATTTTGTAGATCGTCAAATTCTCTATCGAATGGTATATTATAATTGGCTTTTTGTGTCATCATCAGAGGATAAGTGTTTTTACGAAAATTGACATGGGTCAATGTTTTCATAGAAAATCATAGAGAATAATGAATATTTTTACACTAACTCACCAATAGATGGACGAAACATTCTCATCTTCTCTCGACTGAGATATTGATGAGACAAACCTGCGTAGAAAATTTCATTGCGATCGAACTCTCCTTTCGACAGTTATCGTGTAAACGGACGGACGAACACACTTACCGATTCTAGAGTCTATGAACTTTTTGAGTACACAAAAAAGATAGACTGGTACTTTTTAATATTAATATTTTATCACAAATATTTGTCGACAAAATGTTGTCGACCAAAATGCTTGTCGACGAAAATATGTCGACGAATGATATAATTATCAAAATTTATTCTAATTAAAAATATTTCCTCACTTGATGTCCAAGGAAAATCATCAGCTCGCCATAACCGTAATGTTTGCAAATAGGGCATATGAGTACCGAGAAGAGGTACCAAATTTTGTCCTATATCAATTGATTCATTTGAACCAGCATGACAACTATTAAGACAAAATTCAGCATGTCGAATGGTACTCAATGCATTTTTTTTGAGTTTATCGGATGCCTAAAGATAAGAAAAACAAACAAATTATTTCATTTATCAAAAAGGACACCTTTTCAACTGATCAATTGCTTTCTAGTTCGGACTCTGTACATAAGATAGCTCTTAGTCAGATGTAAAATCTACAAAAAAACGAGATATATTTTTATGTCTTCTCTAGAGGATTTTAAGCATTTTACTTAAATTTTAGTCTATGATCATATATTGACCTGTCATTTTCAGGGTATTCTATTCAAGATAATAAACCTGTCAGCGGACAAAATTTCCGGTGAAAATCCTGTCATTAGATTTTTTAGTTTAAATTTTTCTTCTCTTTTCATTATTTTATCGAAATATCTTTTTTTTATCGAAAAATTTCACACACGAACTGACACATGCTCGCCGAACAGTTGCCCGCAGGACACTTGTTTGTGTCACACTTGCCCTCACCCTCATCTAATTATATTTTAAAAATGAATTTAATAAATACTTACATATTGAATAAGATGTAAAAACCATTCGAATTGTTCGATTCGAAGATAAACCAACCGAACTGGCATTGAAATAAGATATGCAAGTACTTGTGCACGTAATTTATTTCGATTGATAGATTTGTCGTGATATGCTGCAAATATTAAATGAAAATATTTATATATTTAACCAAGTTTTATATTAGAAAGTGATATAAAACTTGAAAAAACATTCTATTTTATGGCTAAAAAGCCAACAAATGCAACTTTCTTTGCGTTTTTCTCAAGATGAAATATTCAAACAAAAAATAGAAGTTTTCTTCGCTTTTTTCCTGCACAGTACGACTGACTGATTAGGCTAAAAATTTTTTATGACAACTAGAACTAAATTGTGATGTATATAGTTTTTTTTCTTAAAATAAGAGTAGTGTCACATATCCAAAATTTCGTAGATCTCCTACATTTCCCGTAGAGAGATATCGCATCTCCCACGGGAGACGCGGTCATTTGCCACTGTGGATGTATCATCTCTGTTGGAGATGCACAACCCCCGCATCCACACCCACATCTCTTCGTAAGAGAGTGAGAGATGTTGGAGATCTCCAAAATTTTGGATACGTGACACTGGTGAGACATCCAATATTTTGCTTTTCCTAAGTAAAGGAAAGAGTATTTTTTTTGAAAAATATCTACACATTCATATTTGCTCCTAAGTGCTACAAAAAAAATGAAATGTGGATATTTGCGGAAAAGAAACTTTACGTTTAAATTAAATCGAAATATTTTCACAAGAAGAAATTTTTCATGTAAATAAAAATCAACTTTTTTTCTCATTGTTTCTTTCATTTGATTTACTTTCTTTTCTCATTTTTATTTTCCGAGAAAAAAAAATTCTTTTCTAAATAATATCAACTATTTAAATAAATTGAAGATATAAAGAAAGAACGAGAGAATATATTCATAGAAAAGTTATTTATCATCATTATATATCAATTAGAAATAATTTATTTGTCTAAATACCGATTTACTGTACCGAAATGAATTTAGAAGATTTTTCTAATAATGATAATTGAAATAAATCAAATGCTTTTTCATGCTCTTAAAACAAAACGACAACTTACCAGATATACGAGAAAAAGTCGAGCCAAAATCAAGTCTTGTGACATATTGAAAATGAATGTCATGTTCTTCATTGAACGATTGACATAAAAACATGGAATATTCTGATTGAGAGAGATCGTTATATCGACCTAAAAATAAATAAATATTTTATGTTATTTTCAAATAAATTAGTATTACTAAACAAAGTTTCTTCTAAATAATAATTTCATCGAATTTATTTTGACTTCTTTCATGTTTTTTTTTAGTCTGGAGATATAAGATGATGTTAAAAATCTTAGCATAAAATTTACTTTAAAATTCTTAATTGAGATTGAAATCTTTATCAAAACATTAATTTCGAATCCGAATTTGTTCGTCTATTCTTTTTGTGAAACACGATCTGAAAGAGAGTGTTGAAGTGTAAAGGGGTAGGTATTTGCACCCTCCACAGACCGTGACCGATAGGGTCAAAGATCAAAGATCATACAAAGCGTCACAAACCGTGACCGGCATGTTAATTACTTAATTAACTAGTGTCTAACTAATTACCCATCACAGACTGTAACCAAGATTTTAATTAATTAATTAGTGTCTAATTGATTACTCATCAAAGACTGTCACAGACAGTGATCGACAGTCTCACACAGCGTGAGAGATAGTGTCGTGAATAGTATCTCAGACCATAAGAGACATAGAACCAAACTATTTCTGTGTCACCAATCACAGGAACTATATCGTGTTTCACATTTTTAATCCCGTAGGGATTGCGCGACACAGCTTTTTTTTATTTCAATGAATAACTCTCTTAGAAATTGTTAAAATACTAAAATACTTACCCATATTAAATTGAATAGAATTTATGTGAGGAAATATGTCATCAAATTGTTTGAGAAATAAATAAATTGATGAACATAAACCAACGGAAATATATTTGACAAATTGCCAATCGAAAATAGTAGGATAATCTCTTGAAAATAATAAAAATATTTTATGTGTTTTTTGATGAAAAATAAATCTCTTACATAATACCACAAAAATATTTTGGTTTAAAAATAATTTCATTTGATGATATATGTTGATATGACATATTTTTATCAAAAAAGCATTGAATATTTTTCCAATGATAATCATTAAAAAATCGATGAATTTTAAATGAATTAATTATTTTTTGAATATCATTTGAAAATAACATTTTACATTTTGATACAATATAAAAATCAAAATCAATTAAATTATTTAATATATTAATCATTAAATATTTATCAAGAAAATTTCCATCAATGATACAATTATCATTCATTGATTCTTTTATATTAAGACGAATTTTTAATTTTTCAATATAATTAACTTTATTAATAATCAATTTTAAATAAATTAATTCATCATCACCGATAATTCTACTTTTTAAAGAAAAATATTTTAATTTTGGTATCTAAAATAAATTATTAAAATATTCTTTATTTCTTTTTATATCAATCGGTCATCATTATTTCTCAAATTTCACACGTGGAAGAAATCTATTAGGAAAATTTTTTAAATCTACCTTGCAAAAATAATAATGATACAATCATTTTGATTATTTATGTAACAAAAACTCGATAACCTTCATAATGACTTTGTTAATAACATAGAATAACATCATCAATATGATAAAGAGTGGTCACCAGTTTTGTTCAAAAGAATAAAAGAAAAATTTCTCTCAGTATATAGATTCATCCAAATCTTGTCATTTATCACGAAGAAAATTGGAAAGCTAATTATTTATTTTTCAGAGTAAACAGTTGAAAGGTAAGTTAGTCCATCATTCCTATTTTTAATCACGAACAAGATAAACTTGTCAATGAAGATTATCAATTGCTTTTTTAATTAGAATTTCGATGACGATTGTCACATTAAATTAATAGATAAAAGATTAATTTTTCATCGTTCGACGTTCCATTAATCTCATATATATCTTATTAGGCACCAGAAATCTGTTGAACATAACATGTTGCATCTTGTTCTGATGATGGATTTAGAGAAGAGACGCTGGATCGATCGCTCTTGAACTCCGAAAATTTTTTCTAGGATAAAAGGCTAAAAAATATGTCGATACTACCTTTAATGAACTTGAAAAAAATCTTTTTCTAATCATCATCGGTTTGCTTTCTTCACTGAAACTCTCTTCTTTACCAAAATCCTTGATTTATCACTGTTCTCTTCCAGAATAGGACCAAACACATTTTTTGACCTATCCTATGTTCATTAGATATGCATAATTTCCATTTGTAACTGATCAACAGGTACTCAATCTGATTGATTTATGTTCAATTTCTATTAAGTATTTTCTTTATTTGTCTTAAAATTAATCCATCAATTCAAAAATTCTTTCGTCTGATTAAAAGTGAAAATTCAATTTCGAAATCTTAGTTTCGATCACGATCACAAAAATCTTCTAATCACACAAGATCATGTTAATACTCATTTTAAAAAAAGAAAAAACAAAAAAAAATTGTGTATTTTTTGAATAGCTTTCGATAGAGAGCTGCGGTATTCACCGTTTGAAAGACGAGATAACACTGCATTCAATTGTATATATGAAACTTTTCTAAAATCATTTCTCAAAGGCTTCTGTTCGAGTCTATCGAAAACAAAATATTTAGTCGTATGAAAGTTCCAAGAATCTGATTTTGAGGAATGCATTAAGAGCTACCAATTAGAAGTCTCCAAATTGTGCAAATTCAACTTTAGTAGTTCCAATCTATCGTCAGTTATATTCGTTTTACGAAGTTTTTTCCATCGAACTTTCACAAAAAGTCCCTTTCTTTCCGTACTTTCTGATAGAAAGTACGAAGTTTTAACCAGAGACTGGAAGGAAGTACTTCATTGTAGAAGGTCTCGTATTTGCGTATGACGTTGTAAATATGCAACCACAGAGCTCATTAGACGCGTCGCAACTAGAGCTACAAAACGGTATAATTTATTTTTTAATTCCTTCTTTCTATCGCGAGAAAACAGGAAGTACTTGAACATTTTCAGTAACTTTTAAAAGTTGACATATAATTTCTATGTACTTTCTGTTTTCTTGCAATAGAAAGAAGGAATCAAAAAAACAAATTATACCGTTTTGTAGCCCTAGTTGTGACGCGTCTAATGAGCCCTATGATTGTATATTTATAACGTCATACGCAAATATTAAACCATCTACAATGAAGTACTTGGAAGTACTTGCTTCCAGTCTTTGGTTTCAACCTATGTAGAAGCATCAATTTTTTGGAAATACGTGTCTGAAAATCTTAAAAAACGTCTTTGCAAAAAATGTGATATATACAGTTCGATGTAGTTTCATCTCGTCTTTCGAAACAAAGAAACACGTATCTTTCTATCAAAATTTATTCAAATTCCATATAATTATTAATATCAATAGTCAAATTTTTACATAAGTTATGAGAATGACTAAATGATTCTTTCTTCTCACTGAATGGTTTATGTCAACAAGCATTATGATCATCCATCCACTTTATTAATCTGATCAAATGAATAAAAATATTCATTCTAATCGTCTTTTATCTTATTATTACTGAGAAATTGTTTATATCTTTATCGATGAAAAATAGTGAAATATAAAACAATATTGATATCAAAAATGAAAATGATGATTACTTATTTTACCTTCTCATACCAATTGAAAATATTTGATGAACATCTTTTGATTGATGGTTCATATGAATACCATTCATTCATTAATGTATTTTTGAATATAACTGAGAGAATTTCAAGGGACGGTATATGTTCAATAATATTTTCAAGAAAATAACCATAAATTAAATGAATACTTAAATAACGAAGACTTGTACAGGATGTAACAAATTTATTGGTAATTTTCTTTAAATAAATATCAGAATATAATGAAAAACATTGATGAATATTAACAGTAGTATTGTCATTTGACATATCAAGATCAAGAGAAATTAATTTACATTTATCAGATAAAAGTTTATGCACAAATTCTCTGAACATCAACGTCAATTTTGATTCTATAAAATTAAAAAAAATATCTTAACTTGATAGAATATTATTCTACTGGGAAAGTTTGGTAATTGAATAGCTGATGTTCGACTTTGTCGAACGTGGAACATCTGCTATTGAAGTACCAAGAATTTTAATTAACCTTGATCATAACGAAACATTCGAGGAGTTTTTTCTAATAGACACGATTTGAAGATATCATCATCAAATGTTAATATTAATTCATCTAATTGATATTCAATAAGTAATGATAAATTTTCAATTAATCTCAATGTTAAATAACATTCATTAAGAATAAGTTTTTTCAAATTAACAAAACGAAGAATTTTTTTATAATTGAAAGATAAACATCTTTTATTAATAATAATTTCATTACGATTTATTGAAAATTTAAAATAAATAAGAGAATTAAATCGTTTATTTAATGACCAAAATGATTCAATCATTTCGAACCATTTTATTTCAGAAAATATTAGAAGAATTATTTCATTTGACAAATTTTCGAATGTATTTATCATTTTATCTAAATAAATATATTAATTATTTAAAGAAAAGAAATTTTATTCAAAAAATTATTATTCAGATTTTTTTTCATAAAATAAAAATATCTTTTTTCTTTAATAAATATATCTATACGTTTGAAATTTTCTTAACAATTCTTTTTATTCTCTATTGAATTTATTCAATTATCATTGAAAATTAAAATATTATCGATAACAGATTAATAAAAGACAAAAGTTCATTCTCCAACATATTTAAGTGAAATACTCTTACACATTATCTAGCTACGTTGCTTTTTTTCAAAAGATAATAAGACAATTCCCATTAATAAATTTGATCAATATCTCACAAACAAACATTTGACAATTCTATTATCTTACTACAATAAAACTCTACAAAATAATATAAAAGATGAGTACATTTCGTTGAGAAAATAAAAATTGAAATATGTCAATATTTCAAAGAAAGATTCAATATTCTTCTATAACTATATTAAATAATACAGATCAGAGATGTCCATGGCGGCGCGGTACCAGTAGGTTTTTTGAAATAACCATTGCGGTGTGGCAGCGATAGACCTTTGAAATAACCATCTCAGTAGCGGTAAGTATTTTTTGGAGGAACATGCAAAAACATCTAAATCTGAGCACAAATTGAATGTTTCAGATGCTACACAATGAGATTCGACGAATAGTGATAATAGTTCTAGTTCAAAACAGTTACAATCGTAAAAACTAAAACATTTTTCTAACGATCGTCGCGGCGCGGCAGTGGTCAATTTTCAACCGCGATGGACATCTCTAATACAGATCCTTCAATCTGATCTTCCTCACATCAACTATAGAAATAATTGAGAATAATTCTAATAAAAATACATTTTATGTAAATTTTTACTTGTGTATATAATTGTTCAGTTACATTTTTCTTTGGTAAAAATTCAAGACTTTTCCAATTGGTTTATTCCTCTAATGAGAAATAGTTTATCTTCATAAATACGTCTTAGATATTCATAAATAAAACATTAAATTTAACAAGGAACACACGCTAAATACATTTTTACCAACTTTTTTTTATGAAGGTTTTCAACAGATTAAGGATGTATTTCAAGGTTATACATACTGCTCATTCCTAGATAAATATGGTTTATGTTCTCATCTATTGAAGAAGTGCTACAATGCTGAAAAATTCTATTGTTTAGGATTGATCTGATGCACTTAGACAAATGATCGTCGATATTGGAACACTCGACGAATAAGAGTTTCTTTAATTTATTGAGAATAAGCTTTTATAAATGGTTGATAATTTTCAGAAGAAACTGAAACTCTTAAATATGCTGAAAATGTTTCTCTCTTTTACATATCATTAGAGAATCTCTACTTTTCGGAATAAATCTAAGTGTTTCAACTATGATCGTTAATCTTTTTTTCAATTTGTCAATAATATTTATTTTATAAAGTATAAATTCTTCTAATTATGTTTAAAAATATGAGTATGACAGAGACTGTAAAAAGACGAAAAACATTTCTAGTTTTATTGCGACTTTAAAGCTTCTTTTAGCTTCTCGGTCTGTCTACGTAAAATGTGATTCTATCACGCTTTATTTGGTTCATTATGTACAAACTAGAGATCGAAACGGGGCGAGGAATCGAGGCGGGGCCCCGGGGCGGGAAGCATTTTTGACTGGACGCGGCGGGGATGGGAAGAGAATTTGCGTGGAATAACGGGGCGGGGTGGGGGCGGGAAGACAAAAAAAACTTAGGTCGGAGCGGGGCAGGGCAGA